AATATGTAATTTTATGTGAATGTGATGTATGGTTTGGAGTTATGAAAGTTGGGTAGAAAGTATGTTTTAACTGTATGTATAATTGAGTTTCCTCTCAGGATAAGGGGAGGGAATATGTGGGATGTAACTGTGATGTGATTGGTGGTTTTGTAACGCCCTGTGGGCTGTACTATGTTTGTGGATTGGGAATAAAAGAGACTGTATGTGACAGTACAGAGAGTTCCTGCTTAACCCTCAAAGTGAAGTGTCGTCTCATTATTGGGGGAAGGATTTATTGTATGCTGTTCCAGTTTGACTGCTAGGAGAGTAAACCTATTTGTATGGTTCCTATTCAACTGTCTACAGCATTCATATGCTTGAGAGGATTCAAATGCTTCTCCGGTTCGGTGGTTGTGGTGTCTGCTGCAGTGCTTGGAGTCCTCAGGAAGTGCTAGGAGCATCCTTTAACGGAGGTACCCAGTCGGGGTGCCAGGCGATCCGTTACAGAGGGAACACGTTCATTTTTGCTCAATTGTTATGGTACTATTAACAATGACTATGATAATAATGCTCATAAATGCTGTGTAACTGTGAATGGAAAAATGTCTAAAGCATTACTTGATTCAGGTAGTATGGTTACGTTGGTAGCAGAGTCTATAATACCTTGTGTAAAACCTGATCATGTACAGAAAATAGGCATTATCTGTGTTCATGGTGATAAAAAGGAATACCCCACTGCGGAAGTAAATATTGGGACCCAGTATGGGGATTTAAAGTACCGAGTGGGTGTAGTACCTAGATTAGCCCATGAGGTAGTGATCGGTAGAGACTTTCCTCATTTTCTAAAATTATGGGCAGCTTTACAAAAGACAGACCAAAATTTATCAGAAATGAGTCAGTCTGTCGAGGATAATGTGTTCCCTTTTTCCGATATTGACTTGGGTTTTGACCACTGTGACGGAAAAATAAGAAAAAAGAAAAAATACTGCCCTAAACCAGTATTAATAGGAGATAACCCAGCTCAAACTAGTGAGGAGCCTACTAATACTGCAGACAAGGATAAGGACTTAATTGATATTGGAATTAGTCCAGGTAACTTTAAAAGCGCTCAGTGGGAAGATCCCACTTTAGTGACAGCTAGAAATGATATTAAAGTTGTAAACGGGGTTGCTAATCAGCCAGGAGAAGCACTGCCGTTCCCCTATTTTGAAGTACAAAATGACCTAATTTACCGTGTAGAAAAAAAGGATTCAGACATCATTAAGCAGCTGTTGGTTCCTCAGACTTACCAGAATATAGTGCTAAAGTTGTCTCACAGCCACATATTAGGGGGACACTTGGGAGTCGAAAAAACTAGAGAGAGAGTCCTTAGAAGGTTTTACTGGCCTGGAGTGTTTGCTGCTATTACAAACTATTGCTCCTCATGTCCTGAGTGCCAGTACAGGGCTCCTTTCAAGACTTTTCGTAGTCCACTTGTACCCTTACCCATAATTGACGTGCCTTTTGAAAGGATCGCTATGGACTTAGTGGGGCCACTGGTAAAGTCCGCTAGGGGACACCAATATATATTAGTCATCTTGGACTATGCAACTCGCTACCCTGAGGCCATTCCCTTGCGTAATACCTCTGCAAAGTTAATAGCTAAGGAACTTATGTTGATGTTCAGTAGGGTGGGTATCACTAAAGAAATACTGACAGACCAGGGGACCCCGTTCATGTCCAGAGTCACAAAAGAGTTGTGCAGGCTCTTGCAGGTTAAACATCTTAAGACCTCAGTATATCACCCACAGACTGATGGTTTAGTAGAGAGGTTCAACAAAACCCTTAAGAGTATGCTACGTAAGGTAATTGATGCAGATGGAAGAAATTGGGATTTTTTTATTGCCATATCTACTGTTTTCCATTAGGGAAGTTCCACAGGCCTCCACGGGCTTCTCTCCTTTTGAATTGTTATATGGAAGACATCCCAGGGGAATATTGGATATTGCTAAGGAGACCTGGGAACAGGAGACTACTCCTCACAGGAGTGTAATTGAGCATATAGCTCAAATGCAGGATAGAATGGCCACCATCATGCCTATTGTCAGGGAACACATGCTGGAAGCCCAGCAGGCTCAGAAAAACAGCTATAACCGTAATGCTAGAGTCAGAGTGTTCCAACCTGGAGACAGGGTATTGGTTCTGGTCCCTACTGTGGAGAATAAGTTCCTTGCGACTTGGCATGGACCCTATGAAATAATAGAGAAAGTGAGTGATGTCAATTATAAAGTCAGACAACCAGGAAGAAGAAAGCCTGAACAGTTGTATCATATAAATCTGTTAAAGCCATGGAAGGACAGGGAGGTCCTGGTTGCTTTAAAACCTTCAGAACCTCCTATAGTAGAGCCAGAGGTGAACGTATCTGAGACTCTGTCTGTACATCAAAAGCAAGAGGTCAGAGATTTCATCAGAAGAAATAGGGATGTTTTCTCGGTAGTTCCAGGAAAGACTAAGGTGATTAAACATGACATAATAACCGAACCAGGGAAAAGAGTTAACCTCAAACCCTATAGAATTCCTGAGGCCCGGAGGGAGGTTATAAACTTAGAGGTTGAGAGCATGTTAAAACTTGGAGTCATTGAAGAATCCCAGAGTAACTGGAGTAGTCCTATTGTATTGGTTCCAAAACCTGATGGCACATGGAGGTTCTGCAATGACTACCGCAAGTTAAACGCCATCTCAAAATTTGATGCTTACCCAATGCCAAGAGTTGATGAGTTAATAGAAAGACTGGGCAAAGCTCGTTATCTAACAACCTTGGATTTAACAAAGGGTTACTGGCAGGTCCCTCTCACTGAAAGAGCCAAAGAAAAGACAGCCTTTTCAACACCCAGTGGCCTGTTTCAGTACACTGTATTGCCATTTGGGTTACATGGGGCACCTGCCACATTCCAACGAATGATGGACAGAATTCTTAAACCTCATGTTCGTTATGCTGCAGCATACTTGGATGATGTCGTCATCCACAGTGCAGACTGGGAATCCCACCTCCCTAAAGTTCAAGCGGTACTTGATGCTATCCGCTCAGCAGGCTTAACTGCCAATCCTTCCAAGTGTACGATTGGTTTAGAGGAAGCAAAGT